TAGGCTCTAATTTTGGGAAAATTCGATTTTACCCTATAATTTTGTTTAAAAAATTTTAAAACAATTTTTAAAAAATCGAAATAAATCCCAAACAATTCCTAAAAAACATATTTTTTTCTTTAGAACAAGAATAATTAAAATTTTTTAACAAATAAATTACAGTTTGATATATACAAATGACTATTCTTTAGTTGTTTGTAATTATAAAAATTTTAGAAACCCTTTATTTTTAATTAGTTTGTTAGGTTAAGGGAAGTTTAGGCAAAAAATGGTCAAAAATGAAAAAAGGGCATTGCGACAAAATGAATTTCAATGTGGAGTAATTTACAAATCTCCCAATAAATTACATCAATGCCTAGAAAAACCATTTTTTTAAAGGTTAATTTGCTCAATAACAAAAAAAAATTAATAATTAGAGAAGTAACTAAAATAGGGGTATGTGACATAATTATATACACTGGATTTATGTTAATTGGTTATGTTCTTAATTATATTTTTTTTTTTGGATTATTCCACCCAATTTCCCTTTAAAAAAACCATCTTTTCAATAACACCCGCTTATTTTCTTTTATTGGATAATCTAAGAATGCCTAGTTTAAAATGATGTGCGGTGGGAAAAAATCATGTAACTATATATGTATTAGAGTCTAACATCAAACTTTATTGAAACGCCGAAAAAAGAAACACAAGCACAAAGATGGAAAATTAACGTGCTTATCAAAATTGTGCTAAATTTGGTGATAGGTAGCAGTCTAAATCATGAGCTGAGCTCATTCAATTTATCGTTATCTTTTTTGTTTTTGTCAAGGAATTCTAACTATAAATCCACACACAATTTCACATTAATACCTCTCTGTTCAATCGTTTTTATTAGGATTCTATCTTTTGTTATTAAAAAGATGATAAAGAAATAAATGTATTTTAACCTAGTGGTAGTAAATTTTAGCTCTTGCTTGTTGAGGATTCGCCTTCTTGATTCGAGCATTGGAAATATCTAACCACTCTATTTGGCCTTCCCTATCCGGCTATCCGTAAATACTTTTGAAAGTAAAAATACCATATTTTAAAAAAAATATTGAAAATTAGTATGAGTTTTCTTTCTTTTATTGTCGAAAAAGAAAATTAGTATGAAAATTAGTATGAGTTTTCTTTCTTTTATTGTCGCATTCATAGTGTTTTTACTTCTTAAATCACAAAAATGCTTTATAAAGGAGGTTTTTTCCTGACGCTGCTAGTTAATAACTAATCATCTTTTTCACAAATGTTATTTTTCGTTTTGTAATCTTTGTATAAGCATGGAATTATTATTTCAAATCATTTTTGACTTGAGAGAAGAATTTATTTGATTACAGTTAAAAGCTTTAAATAATTAAAAGAAGAAGAAATTATATAAAATTGCGACAGGTGTGTGATGAAATTTTGAGTTGCCATATCTTCGGAGTTAGTTTAAAGGTTTGGCCAGGTTAGCGAATATTTTCACTTGTGAGTTGTGGCGTTGGGTCATAGTTGACCTGTCACCTTTTCATTGGTTAGAATAAGGTTGAGATTCTTTGGTTGGGACACGTGGTTTGTTGTGTATGGTGGAAGTTGATGGATCTGGTGGAGACTTAAAAAAGACGGTACGAGACTTTCTTAAAGCTCAGGCTAGTAGGCTACGGTTGTAAATGTTATCACCCACTCCAT